TGTGTAAAAAATCTAAAGCAACGATTTTTGAGTTTAATTACATATGATTTCTAGAAAACCTCCAAAAGATATTTTTGATTGTCATAGATGCGTGCTGAATTGCTAAAATAAAACAATAATTATAAACGTATGCACCTTTTTATGTGTTTTTTATTGAAGTATTCCATTTCTCCATTCTCTTGCATTTCTAGTTGATTTCGCCTATCTCTCGTTAAGTTAATTTTCCATGTTTTCAATTGTTATAAAAAAATTGGATGCTCCTACCAACTATACTTAAATAAAAAGAAAATAAAGTTTAAATACTTATTCTATTTTTTTAATCAAAATATTAATCCTCTTTGAACACGTGTGTATTTAAATTTGAGTGATGGTGATAGATGAAATGACACATTCCTTGAATTATATCTGAACATTTTATAATTGAATTTTAAGGGCATCAATTATTTTTATTAATATGACTCTAAAATTGAGTGATTTAAGTAACAAATCAAAAAAGAGAGCTAGGGTAATGTTATTTTGGTTTCAAATTTTCATTTTGAGTGATTTAAGTAACAAATCTAAATTTTTATTTTTTTGTTTCAATATTCTAATTAAATTCAAGGGTAATGTTATTTTGGTTTCAAATTTTATGAACAATATTTACATTGGTTTGTATATTTTAAAGTTGTTTTATATTATATTTCATAAGTAAATTTATTCAAAGATTTCATACAAAAATATTTTTTCATAGTTTATGTCTTAAATTATGTGTCATATTAGGTGTAAAAAGCCACATAAGTAATACACATGTCAACTTTATAAAGATAAACATTTAATCATTTTATATAATAGATTTATTGAATATTTTTATTCTTAACAATTTAATGTAAAGGATTTCTTAAAAACAATTATTTTTAATAATTTTATATTTTTGATCAAAGATAAAAGTTTAATTATATGTCAAATAATATGTAATGGAATCTAGCTCATAAATGATAAATTAAATGCCACATAATATGTTCCATATTTTGCCACATGTATACCCTATATTGTGCCACATGTATACCCTATATTGTGCCACATGTCAAGCTCTTATGCATCAAACTCTCAAATTTATATATAAAGGATTACTTTTGATTGGAGACGGTTTCAAGAATACCCTTTTTGATTTTGACAAAAAGGAGGAGAAGATGAATACTTTAAAGTGGTGCATATGCAACATGACTTACAGGCATTCTTGTGTGATTGTTTGCATCAAACTTTAACTTTTGATAAACAAAAGAAAATCTTAAATTGAGTATTTTAGATATGCTTATTCCTAAGGGGAGCTTGTGTGATTATGATCTTTACTCCCGCCTAACTCACTTTGAAGCATATTGTTTGTCAACATAAAAAGAGAGATTATTAGCCTTGGTTTTCTAAATCTCATATTTTGATGTTTACAAACAATATATGAGCTAATGTTTGTTTGATTATTTCATGTACAACAAGAATCCATTAAGAATCAGTTCTCAAGAAAAAAGTTGAAACACCAAATTAGCGTAGAATATAGGTAGAAATAAATGTAAGCATATGATTATATATTCCTAAAAGTGGACACGGTCAAGTTCTGGTTCTAAAACCGCTAGTTCCGGCATCGCTCCACCGTCGCACTGTAACCATACCCGCCGTAGCCAGTTCCAAAACCACTTGTTCCGTTTCCGGTTCTGTCCGGATCTCAATTCCATTTTTATTATTAAATTTAATATATGACTTAAATAATATTATATGTAATGTAAAACAAATTTATAACTTTATATAAATTCTAAAAACGTAGTTGTTATTTAAATAATAAAAGTTGAATAATACAACTGTTAGGTCCATGTGTTCTTGTTGTTTGTGTTGTAAAACTCGTGTCGACATAACTTTTTGACAAGCTAAGTTTTTATTACAAAGGTTGTTAGCTTAGCCATTTTGAGATTATAGAGTTGTAGCATAATGTCTTTCATCATTTCCAACAACGTGTTCGTGTCCAGCAAGGTGTCTCCAGGTCTGTGGGTTTCGTTAAACATTTACTTCCAAGAGACATGTCATTGTGCTATCACTTCCTCTCGACCTTATCTCCTCAAGAGTCCATCATTTGTGAGATGTGTATGACATCACATCTGGGCTATTCATGCAGCACGAGGAAGATTCCTATTATGACTCTATTAGGGTTTGCTTTACTTTAGTATTTATATTAAAGAAAGATCTCTTACAGAGGGGTAGAGAGAGAAAAAACAGAATCCTATAGCATAACAAGAGATGCCATACATCACACCACTCGTTTCATATCTTAGTGTGGTTATAGTCGAAGAGTGATTACAATCTATAATCTTGATTCTGAAGCTTCAAGTAACGATCATTTGCAGACGTTGAATACCCAAGCTGTTATGAAGAAGGTGTAATCAGTCGATGAGAAAGACTCAAACAAAGTTTTAGTCTCAAATTACTTTTTGTCTGCTCGTTTTACTTGCCTAAGGTTGATTCTCGAGTAGTTCTCCTACCCACTATAATCTTACAACAACTACATTTAATATCCGGACAGTTCAAAAAAAAAGTGACGAGGTAAAGAAACTGTGAAGAAACCCTCGAAGGAGCTTATACATCGCTTACCTAAAAAACTAATTACAGACTAAAAAAATACAAAGTTATTCGTTGGACCTAACACTTCCCTTCGTGGTTGCATCCATTTAATTTTATGTATCAATGTCGTAGTCTGACTCTTGTGCTCAACCCCTTGCCAAGAGCTAATCTTGGTTGCAAACAAGTGTCTCAAGAGATTCAGTACTAAGATAACTTCGTAAGTTGGTGAAAATATTACCGTTAGAACTGAACTCTTGCTCCACAACTACAGTTGAAATCGGCATAGATAACATTTGTCTGGCTAGCATCCCGAGTGACTAGAATATGTGTTCATTCTGCTTCCACCATTCGAGGATGTCGAACTCGCTATCATTCTCCGCGTCGTATTTGCATGGCACGCCTTGGTTCATTGCAAGTACGTTGTGCGAACTTACACTTATACCACATGTACTCATCGAGGTAGAGATGCGCTTACCTTTTCTCGTCAAGAGTCCATCGACTATCGCTTTAAAACTTCTTTTTGTCTTTGGGGTAGGAGGAGATATTGTTTCTTATAACAGAGTACCGTATAAAACTTGAAATTCTTTATATAATGACTCAAAAAGATCAATACCATTATATCTTTCTGTTGTCAATTCTATTAAATGCTGATAAATATAATCATTATCATCTTTTAAAAAAACTATAGTAATACTCCATGAGAATTTTAAAATTTTCAGTCTTAAAGTGTGAATCACAAGTAATACCAATTTTATAAATATTAGGAATATACAAATGATAATCACACCACTTATGCCTTATAGGAGACACATAAGAGTACGAATGTGGATCAGATAAACTCTTAAGAAAACATGTAGTAATTGTAATACACTCAGAAAAAATCTGTTTGTCATTAGTTTATGAATATGTGAGAAAGTAAGAGTGGAATTATTAAAAACTACTAACACGTTGTTCAATTTTTAAACAAGAATAAATTCATTCAAATGGATAATATGATTAAGTTCATACTTGAGAAATAAAGCAAGCTCTTCTTTATACAAGCATATCAGATCTACAACGAAGAACAAAGAGGGTGTGATCGGCATGAGCCTGGCGGAAGCCATAACGTCGAAGTGCCAATCAAAGCTTAGCAAACCAATTTCGGGGAGATTGACGCAACCCGTACAAAGACTTATGTAACCTGCAAACTTTACCAGGAAACAAGTGAGAGTAACCAGGGGGAGCTTCATGTAAATTTCATCCTTAAGATCGCCATGTAAGAATGCATTATTAACTCCTAACTAATCAACTTGCCAACCTCGGGCAACAACAACAGACAATAACACCTGAAGAGTAGCTAACTTTGCCACTGGGGCAAAAGTATCAGTAAAATCAATGCCCAACTCCACCACGAAACACGCTTTATCCCGCTCCTTTGTACCATCAGATTTGTACTTAGTACGATAGACCCATTGACAACCGAGTGCCCGCCGATTAGGAGGAAGATCTGTGATCTCCCAGGTACGGTTCCGTTCTAAAGTTGTGAATTCCTGCGCCATTGCCTCCCTCCATGAGGCGAACTGGACAGCCTCACGATATGATTTAGGAACCGGGGAAGCATCAATTGCACCGAGAAAGCCTTTGTACCTGTTATTTAACTTATCATAATGCACATAGTTAGTAATAGGGAACCGGGTACCTGACGAGACCGAACCGGAAGAAGACAAAAGCGGAGTACCATTTGTAGCGGAATTAAGGACATAGTCATAGAGATGGGGTGGGAGACGACGTCAGCAGGGTGGCAAAGGTGCTGGAGAATCGGGTGAGGAAGGGATCTCCCCCTGCGTGGTTGCCGGGGAAGAGGACAGAGACGGATTGGGTGAGGAAGACTGTGACGGGGACTGGGCGGTGGACGGTAAGGGCTGTACGGCTAGGGTTTCACCGGATGAGGCAGCCGGTTGGGACAAAATTTGGGCAATGGGAAAGTCCTCATTGACGGGATTTAAGAGAGGTTGGGGTGAGGGGGAAGAAGACGGAAAACGAAACTGAGATTCATCAAATACCACATCCCGAGTATGAAAAAAATGGTGAATGTCAAGATTATAAACCCTCTACCCTTTGGTACCAGATGGATACCCGACGAACATGCATTTGACACTACGGGGAGAAAATTTGTTTGTGGGTTTAGGGGTTTGACGAACATAACACAAGCAACCGAATACTCGGAGATGACTCGAGTTTTGGGGTTTAGAAGATTGTAACACCCCAACCCGTGTACCCCGAACCAACGAGTTAGCGGATTAGGTTGCTACTAATCTGGTATTCATATGCACAATATTTTAAAACATATAATAATAAAATATCAATTCACATTTATTTAAAAACAATTCATCATTTAATCGGAGTAAATAGTTCAAACGTTGCGGAATCCTTGAAAACAATATTCAACATTCTAGTAATTTAAATAAGCAAATTCAACAAACTATATTTAATTTAAATAAAACAATTTTGGCCATCCACCAGCGTCACGCTTCACTATCCTCCAGGCTGCTCCTCATCCAATCCTTGATCCCTACCTGTAAAAATAAGGAGAGTGGAAGTATCTAACACTAAAACTAACTCATAGACTAGTACTCATTAATATATAATCAAACAATATCAGATGAACCAGCAAATATCATTATCCAACTGTACCACTATTTATGCTTATATTTCAGTTTAGTTCTTATGCATCCTTACTCCATCTGCCTGCTAGATATAATCCAATTCATACTTACTAGAGTAATGGAATCCAGAGGGGGTTGAGGCCCCCGCTGGCTCTCGCCAGGGGTCAATGACCACCGTGCACACGTTTTTAACCCTCGAGACCACCGGATGAATGACGGCACCCGCGTGACCTTATTCTCTAGTTTAGTCCAATTTGTGATTCCCAATATCTAATTCAACTCAACAACAACAACAACCCAGTTAAATCCCACAAGAGTAGGGTTTGGGGAGGGTGTGTGTACATAGACCTTACCCCTACTCGAAAGTAGAGAGACTGTTTCCAAAGAGACCCCCGGCTCAACGTCGAAAGTTGCATTGCTTGACTACTTGCTACTTCATTAATTAAAGAAGCACAGACAGTTTAGAGATCCATTTTGATTTATTCCATCACACCCTAAAGCCAAAAAATGGTGAAATTTTGGCTCCATCAGAGATGATGGAAAAATCTAATTGAACTCAATCCACCTAATATTATTAAGAGATCAGTTTCATAAATTCCTACTTAACTTATAACTAGCCAGCAATTCATTAGTTAGTACCTTTGGTTTAATTTGTAGTAATTGCTTACTTTATGGTCAGATTATAAGAAGGGACTGAATTGCAACTGTTAACAATCCTAGGGGTCAAATTATAATTTATAAAAACAAAAATCATGTTTCCAATGTATTTGCAGACCCGTCTTCCTCCCCGCTTCCATACGGCGAACAAGAGAAGCAGCGACTGTTGGCGACTCCACTGCGGCGACCACACTAATTCGACCTAGCACCGGCGGCATCAAGGACAGCAGCGTTAACAACGTCCATCTTCCGGCGGCGAATCAAATCCGAACAGAGTAGAAGAACGGAGAAAGAACATAACTAAATTCCATACTACGATTTCTAATTCAATTCAACGAAATCTCTACTCGAAATCGCAAATCCAACGTCAATCGATTGAAAACATAATAACGAATACTAATCTACGAATTAATTTTAACGGAAGAAACCACCACTCACCTTGATTGTTCGACGACGAATCACAAATCAATGGACGAAGAAATCCGGCTTAGAACTCCGGTGGCAAACTCAAGCGAAGCCTCGGCGATGATCCTCCGACCTTGGTGCGTCGCGCGTAGAGAAGAATGACGAAGAAGATGATGAAACGCTGCAGAGGTCTCTTTAGGTATATAACCATATGTCTCTTTATGTATATAATCGTATGTTTGGGTGACTTTTAGACTTCACAAATGGAATAGGAATAAGACCGTGTGGGTTATTAGATTTATAATATTTTATTTTTAAAATTCTTTATTTTATTTATTGAACTGGTCTATTTTCTTTATCACGGTGTACACAAAAGTCCAAATTAAACAAATTATATATAGTTGGTCACCATTTTATGAGACCTACCCGAAAATTTAATTTTTAACTAAAATGGTCAACTTTACAAATATTTCATATTTTGAAGAAAATAAATAATCTATTTATTTCTATTAAAATAACGGCTAACTACTAAGACGGTTTTCAGGGCGTTACAAAGATAATACCTCAAGAGGAGATTTCCCACCAAGCAGCTTTGTAGGAGTGCGATTGATTAAATAGACTGCTGTTTTCACACATTTCCCCCAAAAATTAATAGGAAGAGACGCTTGAAATATAAGAGAACGAGCAACATTGAGTATGTGGTGATGCTTACGTTCTACCCTACCATTTTGTTGTGGGGTACCAACACACGATGTTTGTATTAAAACGCCCATTGATTCATAAAATTGACGCAAAGGCGTGTTGAGAAACTTAGTTTCATTATCTGAGCAAACCACTTTAATGATTTTGGAGAATTAAGTCTGTATCATGGCAAAAAATCATTTAAGACATACTGCAACCTCGCTTTTGGAGCGAATAAGATACACCCAAACAGCACGAGAAAAATCATCAACTATAGTGAGAAAATAATGAGCACCAGATGATATACATGGGGAATAAGGGCCCCACAAATCACAATGAATTAAATCAAACACAAATTCAGCTTTATTGTGACTAGCAGGAAAAGAAGAACGAGTTTGCTTTGACAGGAAACAAATATCACAAGTTTGAAGTTTCTTGACAACAGAACTAGATTTATTTGAATTAAGTAGAGAAATTATATCGAAAGAAGGGTGATCCAAACGTTGATGAAGAAGTAGAGGATCCACATTAGCCGTAGTAGCCAACACAGAGGAGGAAGCCAAGATGTTTACTCTGTTTCGCTTTTCACCCTATCCAGTCACCATCTTCGACGAAGGGTCATGTATCACACAACAAGAATCATGAAAAGTTACATAACAGGGGGTGTCCCGAATCAAACACCCGACAGAAATTAAATGACAATGTAATGTGGGGACAAAAAATACATCATGGAGAACCAAACTCGGAGTTAAGCGGACACTTCCCTTTTTAGTGGCCAGAATCCGGGAGCCATCGGGAAGACAAATAGGGTGAGACAAAATATCCTCAACATTAAACAAGTGAGATAATGTTCCCGTCATATGATGAGAAGCACCGCTATCAACAATCCAATCACAAGAAGAAAAAATACCCGAATAAGTGTGTGACGTCGAGGCTTCCAACATAGACATAAGTCGGCTCATTTGGTCACTTAACGAGGTTCCCACATCACTGGAAGCAGCATAGATAGTAGCTTAGGAGCCACTGGTGGCTGGAGCTGCGTCGCTGGGTTGCTGTCCGCAGCCAGGAGCAGTTGCCGGGGTGCCCAGGATGCCACGGCCTCCCTGATTCGCAGTGGATCCTCCCCCACGGCCCCCTCAACCGCCACAAGTGCCAATTGAATGTCCACGTCCACCGGTATTTTTGGTGAAGTGTGAGGGAAAACCAACTAGTTTAAAACATGTTTCGACGGTGTGATTAGTATGACCGCAATGAGAGCACATGAACTTGCTGGAGGGAGGTGGACGACGATCAGACTGTGCGGCGAAGGCGACAGATTCGGTGCAATCATCACGAGTACGAATATAACGGTGACGTTCTTCTTGAGAAATCAAAGAGTAAACATAGGGCTGTCATCGGATAGCCGAAAATCCGATTACCGTCCGCATCCGTATCCGTTTAAAGAGAAAATATCTGCATCCGTTTTAAATGGATACTATCCGTATCCGATTAAGAATATCCGATAGTCCATTACGTTGGGTAGATAGTCCTCCATTATTCTTGGAAAGTTCAAGACAGAGTGTCTCGGTTGGGAGATGTGTGAACTTGAACCTTCCAACGTGGTTGTGGCTACGCCTGTCGTTGGACTTTTCTGATTCTGACTCCCCAAAATCGACAGACCTTCTATTTGACATTTTGATTGATATAGAAATTTAGATAAATAGTATAACATATTTATATTATAGTATTATAAGATAAGTAACATAATTTAAATTTATAACATGAAATTTTTAATATATTATAATATATTTAGAATATATTTATATAAATAATATGATTATAGGAACTGGGGGTGGGGGAGGGTGTTTGGGTCGGGGCGGGGTGGGGGGGTTACCGGGGGTTAGGGGGTAAGAACCGTCAATTTTACGAACGGGGCACCGGAGCACCCCCGGGTTATCCCATGACATTAATTCCCAATGTCATGGGAGCCGGCCCCAATAAGGAAATATGTCAAATGAGAATTGTATTAGTATATTACTCGTAAATGAGTATTTAATAGATGTACACCTAAAACAAAAAATATATAAAATGAACATTCTATTTCTCATGATTGAATATTCCCTAGATATACATACTAGAAAATATCGTCAATCTAGATATACAGTATAAGCTTCTTTTGAGTATATTTTGCAAACCAGATTTGCCAAACACAAAAAATCAGTGAGGAGTTTGGATAAAATAAAAAAGAAAACTTTTATGCAGTCTTTGTGCCAACACTCATTTTATAGACTTTAGCTATAAACAGAATGAAAGAATTTGATTTTTTGTAAAAAAAGATCAACTTATCAGTCAATAAAAAGTATGAAAATATTTACGTTTCACATGTGGACCTTGGTATAATGGCGTCACAACTCAAATAAAGATAGAAAAGTTGCTTACAAACAACGTGACAAACACCCCTACAATCTACACCATATTGTACATCTTAGGCACTCGGTCACGACCACGAATTGACGCTGCAATTGACGTTGCATCGATGTGGAGGCGCATAGCGAGGAGACCAACCTGGACTGGCACAAAGAGGAGGAGGAGACACAATTCATCCGAATGTAATTCATTGCAAAGAGAGGAGCTGCGAAATTCATACCAACAGAATGATGAACGAAAACAATGGTGACACCATTGTCGCTGAGCAAACTATCCACGATTACGACGGTGAGATGAACGCTACGTTGCTTCAGAATGAACACTAAATTGTTTAAGAATCCATATTATATTATTTGAAAACACATACTCTGCAGATCAAGTTTGAAATTAGAACTATTCCATTTGAGAATAAACACTAGCTAGTTTCAACATCGTTTAGAGTAATTACTCCGTACCAGTTTCCGCCGCGAGGTTACTATTGGAAGATGAGGTATTCAAACTGACGCCTCTTTCATCTCTTTTCATCCGGAAGCCTGACCTTCACCATGCCCCCTTCACTCTCCGCTCTTTCTACACGTCTCGCCGTGCTAAGTTTACTCTCCGCCACAACCATCTACTTCTTCTACAAGTCCCGCCCTCACATCCGCCACCTCCGCAACCGCCTCAAAGCCTTAACGGAACTTCCGGCCCGAAACCCTAACCATAGCTCCAGAGGTAAAATATTCTTTCTCTCTGAAACTGGCACTTCCAGAGCCCTAGCTCATCGCCTGCACTCCTTCCTAGCCCTCAGTGATCTGCCCTTCGACCTCATTGACCCTAAGGATTATGAGCCCGAGGATCTGCACAAGGAAAGTCTATTTCTGATTGTAGCTTCCACTTGGGAAGGCGGGAAGCCCCCTTCGAATGGTGGATATTTAGGGGACTGGTTAACCGAGAGCTCTGATGACTTTAGGGTTGGAGCTTTGCTGCTCTGCAATTGCAAGTTTTCAATCTTCGGCGTCGGAAGTACATCCTACGGTGAGACTTTCAATGCTGTTGCCAAGGATTTTTCCAAAAGAATGCGGAAACTTGGGGCAGCCGAGGTTATGGAGGTGTGCGAGGGGGATGTAGATGAGGGGAATTTGGATTATGTGTTTGATGATTGGTGCAAGAGGTTGGCTATCATTTTGAAAGGGGACTCTAGACCGTATTTTTCTAACAATGGTAATGTTGAAGAGAGCGATGGCGAGGTGAGTGAGCATGATGATTATGATTCTGAGGTAGAAGAAAATGTAGAGGATAAGGGGATTGTTGATATTGAGGACATTGCTGGTAAAGCAATGGCTGGAACTAGGGCTAAAAATGGAATGGTAAATGGGGAAACACTAAAGGAGGAGAAAGAAATGGTCAGTCCTGTTATCAGGGCTAGTTTGGAGAAGCAGGTAATATTTTTTTTATATGTTTTTCATTTTGGTGTTTGTGTGCAGAAAATTGCCGCTCATCTCTGAACGATCCAAGTTACGAGTACTTTGTTTCATTTCGAAACCTTCTACTCCGTATATTATATGTTTTTTGAAATAAAACCTACATAGATACTGTAGCCATTGATTTGGGATTCCAATGATTTTGCTAATTATTTCCATTTATAATGCATTTCTTTCATTCTTTTTGTGTTCAAAAATTTTTCTTCTATTTTTTTGTTTAGACTCTAATAGTCTAATATATGTTTCAAAGTTGTCATTTTAACCCCACTTTTATCTATGTTCTCTAGGGGTACAAAATAATTGGTTCACATAGTGGTGTGAAGATTTGTAGATGGACAAAGTCACAGCTTCGAGGGCGAGGAGGTTGCTATAAACATTCCTTCTATGGCATTGAGAGCCACAGGTTATCTTATGTTTTATTTATACAGACTTACAGAGTATGACTCATCTTTTAGCAATTTAAACAAGATTATGTGTATAGGTGTATGGAGGCAACCCCCAGTTTAGCATGTGCCAACAAATGTGTTTTCTGTTGGAGACATCATACGAATCCTGTAGGGAAAAGCTGGCGATGGAAGATGGATGATCCTCTGGAGATTGTGCAAACTGCAATAGAGTTGCACACAAAAATGATAAAACAAATGAAAGGAGTTCCAGGTCTTTACCTGTTTTGCAGAACCTACCTTTTATACCACTTTTTGTGCAAATCATTCATTCACAGTGCTTGTTACTCTATAGTGTATGGATTACTTTGGAGTTTGTGCTAGTTAATTATTAATCAACGACTTAAGCCATTTTCTTAAGTTTTACCTCACAAACATGCTCCGGGCTCTTGACATAAGAGACAGAAATTGAGAATGCAGTGAAACAGTTCGGTACATATTAAAATAGTACTGAACGAGTTGCAAGACTGAAGTTATTTACACAATTATATTTTTAATAGTTAATTTAGTATTACCCCGTAGTAAATAATTTTTTATATTTAAAAATGTTATTAAACATTTATAAGTACCACCCTTAGTAATATAATTAATCCTTGTATTAGTAGTAATGGCAGTAATAATTTGCTATTAGTATTAGTACTCTGTTTTAGTTAATATTCTTAATAGCAATATTGTACTCTGTATTAATTTAGGACTTTATTAACTTGCTCACCAAGACTCTTGGAATAGTATAGATAGAGGTGTTATGTTCATTAATAAAATCATCAATGGGTGAAGTCAAATCTCTAATTATGAGAAGCCAGTCACTGACTACTTTCCCCTCCTTCCATTTATGGGCAAGCAAAGATCAATATCTTCTTCATCTTCTACATTCGCTAATGTGTTCGTAGCACTATCACTACAGGGACAATCATGGGATACATGGCGTGGTAAACAATGTGAGAGAGAGAGAGAGAGACTGTTAAATGAAAGTATAGTATGAATTGGAGAACATTTTCATCTGTCATTACTCATTTGCTTCTTATTCATTGCTTGCCTTCAACTTCAAATATCTATGGTGTGTATTGTTTGCAGGTGTCAAATCCGACCGCTTGGCTGAGGGTCTCTCTCCTCGGCATTGTGCATTATCACTTGTTGGTGAACCTATTATGTATCCTGAGATAAATTCACTTGTAGATGAGTTGCATCGGATGCGGATTTCAACTTTTTTAGTGACAAATGCACAGTTCCCTGAAAGAATTATGATGCTAAAACCAGTCACCCAGGTACATGATTATCAATGATTGTCCATTCTCCTCCTTCTGTTGTTAAGCATTGATCTTCATTTCACATATGAAAATCTTGTATCGCTTCGTTAAAAAACTATGCAGTTGTATGTTAGTGTTGATGCAGCTACAAAAGATAGTTTGAAAGCAATTGATCGACCACTATTTGGAGACTTCTGGGAGCGATTTCTTGTGAGTAGTACCTTACTGGATTTGCCTGAAAATTGTCTCAAACTATTATTTAATAAACTGCTGCTTGAGACAGGATTGATGAATCTTTTACACTATGCTTGGGAACTTTCCATAGGAGAGGAGAATAAGAAGGAAACATAAATTATGTTTCATATATAATTATCAGCTCTTCTGTACGGTTTGAAATAAAATAATAAAGCAAATACATTTTTTTAGTATTTGAATTACTGATTTTGGTGGGAACTAAAGTTATAATGTTTTAAGTTTACGAGTTTACTCTTTACACCATACACTAATAAATTTAAAGTTTTTAAAGCATGATAAAAAGGTAAATTTATAATGAACAACAAATTTTCCTTTGATGTTGTAGAGGGAGTAGGATGGAAAATAAGGCTGATTTTCCTTTCCATCTTTATTTTTATTTCCTTCCCATACAAGGCAAAGTGTCTCCCTTGTCCATACTCCATTGTTGTTAAGTTGACAAGTCGAGTCGAGTCGGTGAAGGGGAGACTAGTGGACTAGTCGGCCTACTAGTTGTAGACTAGTCGACAAATCACAATTACTATTGAAATTTTTAACATTATATATATATATCTGCATTCACCCAAGATAACTATATATATATTTATATGACACCAAAATAAAATTATGTTTAAAGGTAGAACATAAAGTCACTAAAAGTTAATAAAACTGAAAAATTAAGAGTATAATATACTTTAATAGTCTAATGAACCAAATTAAAGAAAATTAAACCAAATTAAGAGTATACTTTAATGATAAATAATCAAAGATAGAGAGATGTTACTTATGGATAGAGAGCGTGTGAGTACTAGAAGATGAAGAAGAATCAATTCCTAGGGTTGGGTCAAATTGGGTTTGTTGAGACTGGGCAGGTTTTCTTCACAAACTAGTCATTGCCTAGGCATCGCTTAACTCGCCCAGTCTACCCTAGTCGCTATTCGACGTTCAAGTTTCCATTTAGAAAACGCCTTTGATTTTAGTCGTCGACTAGGCAACGACTTGACAACAATGCCCTACTCTGTCTCCTTAGTTTCCTTCCTGAATTTCTTTCTTCTCAAGCATAGTGTTAGAGATTTACGGGAAGAGAAAGGGCTCAAATTTGGCTTAAGGAAGGAACCATGAACTTGTTTTTTTAATTTATTTGTAGGGAATGAACTTAGATCTAGATGAGTAATGCTTGTGGTTTCCAAAACCTTGCCACTTTCCAAGTAAAACACTCTGCAGTTTTCATCCATTTATGGTCCACCATACCAAGTAAATTCTGAGGTTTGGTGGTTAAAGTCTAGGAGAAATTCAATCAGTTTCTATGGAAACAAGACAACGATGAGATGACAATTTTGGGTTCATTAAAATCAAATCACCTCTTACTGAATTCAAATCATGCTTCCCACCCTGTAGACATCGATGATCTTCTAGTCCACTTTGTGGCTCACTCCCTATGACTGGTTTTTAAAGCATAAACTTTTTTTACCATCTTTTAAAAATGAGTAAATTCCATAAAACATCCCCAGTTATAGGTCATTTTACATATTTAGTCCATACATATCAAATATTACTAATTTAGTCCCCAATTATTATATTCATTTCCACGAATGGTCCTTTGTTAACATTTCTGTTAAACGTGAATAAAATTGTAAATTCACACTCCTTTCTCTCGTCTATTAAGCTTCCTCCCTCCCCTCGCACTCCTTTCCCAAACCCATCGCTGGGTTTGAAGCTTTGAACCCAAAACCGAAATCATCACTCTTCTCTCAATTGTTTGTTGAACTAGTGGAACCCAAATTTGAAACCAGTAATCTTCATGGATGAGTTTTAATGTTTATTTTCTTTGCAATTTCTTGAGACTAAGCGATAAAACTCATCCATAAAGCTTATTGGTTTTGATTTTAGACTCCACCACGAAGACTAATGATTGAGAGAGGAGTGATCATTTCAGTTTTGGATTTAGAGCTTCAAACTTAGTGACGAGTTTGAGAAATTGTACGAGAGGAGGGAGAAAGCTTAATTCAGGAGAGAGAGAGAAGTATAAATATACAATTTTATACATGTTCTTAACAAAAACGTTAACAAAGGACCATTTGTGAAAAATGATATAATAATTGGGGACTAAATTAGTAAAATTTGATATGTAGGGACTAAATATGTAAAATGACCTATAACTGGGGACCTTTTATAGAATTACTTTTTAAAAATCTATCCAGCGAACCACAGTAACACATGGAGTGGACCACAAAGTTGTTGACTAGAGGATTCTCACCACCACTAGGAATATTGTTTGGTTACGCGCAGTGCATAGGACTATAGGAGGGATTCAAACTCCCTCTTTTATATTCTAGGAAAAGTAACCCTCTATCCCTATTTTCTCTCTGACTTTTCATGCTTTTTTTCTTTTTTTTCATGCTTTTTAAGAAAGTTAAAACCATGTGGTTGAGACTTTTCCTTAAAAGGAAAGAGGTGATATTTTTTAGGGACAAACAAAAAAATGAAAGAGTGAAGGTAAAGAAGGAACAAGGGGTAAATCATTTCGTGGAAACAAAACTCTCTTTGAGGGAAGCAAATTATGGGACGGAGGAGCATTAATTAATTAAGATGTCAGGACTCAGGAGCAAAAAACTTAGTCCTATATGGAGAAATGGACCATGTTCCTTCTTTATTAAAAACAAACCACAACCACACATGCTACTTTATTAAAAATTGTACCAAGTCAAACTAATCAGAAAATTATGGGCTGGAAGAAGTATTACAGATTGGTTTGTGTAGGGACAAGGTCCACATACACTTACCCTTCCCGGGCTTCTTTTTGTGTGATTTCATTGAGTTTATTGTTGGAGGAAGTATTAAAAATAATTTTTTTAAAAAAAATAGACCGATTTTTGTTTTTTTTGCTTCCTACACAATGGTACTTGCTCTTTAGTTATTCCTATAATAATGACTGCTCTGTCATTATCTTGTAAATAAGACAGACTATAAGAAGAGATGAAGTGACACTTGAAAAAATGGGCATTCAGATTTTAGATGTGCTTCATCCCTTTTATTTAATTACTGAACTCTATCAAGATTTGTGGCCTTCATGGTAAAAGTTTGCAGGGATAGGCCCCTTAAAGTTAGTATTTGTCATTTTTAAGCAAGGATTGCATTTGCAGGACTCCTTGAAAGCTCTCAAGGAGAAGCAACAGAGGACAGTGTATCGGTTGACACTAGTTAAAGGGTGGAACACGGAGGATGTGGATGCATATTCAAACCTATTCAGCATTGGAAATCCCGATTTCATTGAAATCAAAGGCGTCACTTACTGCGGATCGTAAGTGTTTCTGGCTCGTGCTTCCCCTTTTTTTCTTTGTTAGTCCTTATCCCAAGACAATGTATTGTATTGTATGTGTGCTGCAGGTCTGCTACATCAAAGTTGACAATGGAGAATGTGCCGTGGCATAGTGATGTGAAGGAGTTTTCTGAAGCATTGGCTAAAAAGAGCAACAGGGAGTATGAAGTTGCATGCGAGCACGTGCATTCATGCTGTGTTCTACTAGCGAAAGTCGACAAGTTTAAGATCAATGGGCAGTGGTTCACATGGATAGACTACGACAAGTTTCATGATCTGGTTAATCATCATCAGTTTCCCTCTTGCTTCTTCATTCACACCATCAATGTGCTTTCTTTGCTTTCTTCTTACATCTTAACTTCTATCTATCTTCCTTCAGGTCGCTTCGGGAAGGCCATTTAGCAGTGGCGATTACATGGCTCCCACGCCATCATGGGCCGTGTATGGAGCGGAGGAAGGTGGGTTTGATCCGGACCAATCTCGTTTCAAGAAAGAGAGGCATCATAACCGATCAGCTCCCAGCTGAGATCGTTTTTTCTTTCTCCTGTTTGGGCCCTACATTTGTTTAAAAAGTCGCTCTCATCGGAGAGATTGATTTTTTCGCAGAGCTCCAAAGTGCGGCACGGACGTAAAAATGTTCGGAGTACTTTTCGTCCATTGAAATTATTTTCAATTTTTTTTAAGAATAGAAATTTTGGTTTATGTTTTTTAAATCTTCATTCCAATATGTTTCCACTTTCCAATTGTCTAAATCTCTGCTAATGGTAGCCGGAATTTCCAAATGGAATGGAGGGCGCAATTGCTATGACCTAGTCATAAAATAATCTCTCAGTCGCAATTGCTATGACTACTATGACCTAGTCATAAAATAATCTCTCAGTCCTATTTTATGTTGTCTGTTGTTTACGATGTTTGATTGTTGTTATTTTCAAAAGAATTTATATGAACATTTTGATAGATTTAAAAATAAATTTTCTACTATATATTTAAAAATTACTCCATATATTAGAAGTTTTGCAAAATAAATTGTGACATGATTAGATTATTTTATCAAATTAATAACAAAAATGGGTAAAGATAGGGTTTAAATTTTGATTTTGTAAATAGTTAATAGATAATTTAAATTAGAACGGAGAGAATATTTAATAATGTATCCGCATAAAAACAATGCAAATATGCCATCGGCCGTGAGTTAGTCCCGGCTTAACTGAACATGGAGGTAGAAAAAAAAGTTATTGACTTTCTCACTCAATATGCCTTTAAAATATCTTAAGCTCCGACCAATTCTAATTCCAATCTGATTAAATCGGAAACATGAATAACATGTAAATCTAGGGTTGATCCGGTAACTCGTAGAGAAATTTAGAGCTTGTTCAGTTCATCTTTCTGATCTAATTTGAAATTATTAAAGTCTAATTTAAAAGATAATTATCATGTTTAAAAAATCAATGCGTGTCACATTTATTAAAAACTAATTGAAAATGCTCTACAATTTTACTTGAACTCCGATATTTTTTATACATAGATCAAAAAAAGATATTAAATTATTTACAGCATTTGTTTGATCGCTACCCAGTCCTTTTTTATAATGCATGTAAATATGGAAGGAGAAGAAATCACTATAAAAACACACACATATATAGTACAAGGTGTTGTTATGGAATAGGGTATTGAGTAATCAAAGAACAAACAGAAAAAAACACAACAACAGATTTAACGAGGTACAAAGTGTTCGTTGGAACTTCTGATGATGCAATATCAGCAGAGCGTGTCACGATGGTACCTTTCAGAATGTACAAAGTACCACGTTTCAGATCCGTCATAACCACCTTTGAACCTTTCAGAATATGCATTACTCCACCTTCACCTCTGAAATTGAAACCCTTGCTGTCAAGTGTACTCAGCGATATCAAGTTCTTCGTCATCTGTGGAACATGCCTGACATCGTTCAAAGTGCAGAATATCCCATCATGCGTCCTTATTCTGATTGAGTCGATCCCTACCACCTTGCAAACAACACTGTTTGCCATGGAAACGTTGCCACCATCTACCTGCTCGTAAGTGGTAAAATACTCTCTGTGAGGACAAAGATGGTATGATGCTCCTGAATCAAGAATCCACACATCATTCTGATGTGGCTGATCACCTGCAACAAAAACCAGATCTTCTTCAGACTTTGAATCGTCAGCTTCTGCCATAGTTGCAGAACCGTGAGCATCCTCTTTCTTGTCCTTTTTCTTTATCTTCTTCTTAGGGAAATCAAACTTCCAATGCCCTGATTCTTTACAGTAGTTGCAGATGTCACCGGGTTTAGGACCTTTTGGACCTTTAGAGTTTGGTTTCTTCTTTCCAAAAAACTTCTGTCCCTTACCTGTAACAGAAAGTCCCGATGCCTGATTTTCTGTTGCTGAATTTGTTGCCTGTTGACGATCTTCTCTCATGTGGAGAGCAGATCGAACATCTTCCAGAGACATAGTTTCTTTACCAGCAAGAAACGAATCAACAAAATTCTCATAC